GGCGTGCCCGTCGCTCTGTCTCTCTCGCACTCCAGGGGCCTTCCCTAGAGGTGCGAGAGAGAGCGACAAAACTAAACTTCGGCTGCACCGGCAAGGATTACGACGTCCGAGGGCAAACACGGAGGCGGCACCGATTGGGCTGAAGGAGAGCCGAGGGATAGCCGAAGGAGAGCCGAAGGAGGGCCGAAGGAGAGCCGAAGGATGGCCGAAGGTGTGACGACGGAGGACCCCTGGTCGGTAATTAATGAGAGCTTTGATTGGAGCTGGCCACGCCGATAGGCCCGGGCACCCCGCCCCGGCTCCAAGTCAGGCTTTGTCCTGCTGGCTGACGCTGTCTCTCTCGCACGCCTACGGAGCACCCCAGGAGTGCGAGGGAGACAGAGCATCGAAAGCCCTGCTAGGCTCCGCGTCGCTGGTGGTCGCGGCCACGCAGGGCGACGCAGGGCGACGCAGGGCCAGCACACCGTCAGGACGGGGCCCTACAAGGGCAGCGCCAAGGCTTGTCGGCCTGCTCGGCCTGCTCGTCGTGACCAAGGCGAACAACACTGCCCTACAGGGCGAGGACTGCGCCGCCGAGCACCGCGACCACGGCGGCGTTCTGCGCGCGGAGGCGCGCCCCGCAGGGAGGGCCTAGGGCCAAGGGCCTAGCCCAGCCCAGGCCGGTAGAGCATTCTGTTGTCACATAGCGGCCGGCTATCGGCAAGACTGTCGTCGTCCGGTGGGGCCCTGCCGGCCGCGGCATGTCCTGCGTGCTCTGTCCGCACGCCGCACAGACAGAAGGCGAACCTCGCACGCCTTCATCTCTCTTCTACAACCGGAGGAAATGGCAAACTTTTCAACTCGGTGAATTTGGCGTAGGCAATTTACGGACGGCCCATCGGAGTGGCGGATATCGGAAATAACGCTCGTTCGATCGGAATCGCCCTGTGCGCTGGCGGCGCTGGCGGGGCACTCAATGGCAGCGGATATGTTTAGCCGTTGTTGTGTGGATGCGGTGTGTGGTGTGTGTGTGTGTGTGTGTGTGGTGTGTGTGTGTGTGTGTGTGTGTCGAGCCGAGAGGCTGTGTGTGCTGCCTCCCACAGCATCCCACAAGGTACACACGCTCACACAGACACACGTTACACATACGAGCCGCACACACGCACACACGCACACGCGCGCGCTTGCTTTCCCGGGCCGAACCTGTCGCAGCCGCCCTACTGCGCCCCGCCCCGCCCCGCCCCGCCCCGCCGCGCCACGCCCCGCCACGCCCCGCCCAGTGACCGGATCGGAGATTCCCCCTCCCCTTTCCCCCTGATCGGTCCCTTGATGACATGCAGTCCCCGTCGTCGCAGCGGGAAGCGCCTCTGACGGCGAGGGCCCCACGTGCCCCCCGTGCCCCATTCCGCTGCCCACACGCCCGAAAAACAATACGGGGCAGTTTAATTCGGTCGCACCGCAGTCCTCTTCTGCCTCTTCTTCTTGTCGGAATGTTTCGACCCCCTTTTTGCATCATCAGACACGCGCGACGAACACGCTGCGGCGGGTCTTCTGCTCGGCGGAGAGTTTTGGGAAGGGACTACAGTGGCGTTGCCAGGAGGAGGCCAGTTGGTGGTGGGCGGTCTTCGAGTCCACTCCACACAGACCCTGCGCCTCGCGAAGCCATGGCGAAGCCCTCCAGGTGTAGGCGGAGGGCGCCCAGCATAAAGCGCCTCTCTGTTCGGAGGCAAAATGAGCGACCCAATCCGAAGCCCTCTGCGAGTCGGGGCCTTTCCGCGGGGCTTTCCGCGGGGCTTTTCGCGGGGCTTTCCGCGGGGCTTTCCGCGGGGCTTTTCGCGGGGCTTTTCGCGGGGCCCTCTGGCGAGGGGGTCCGCGGCGTCCCGTGACGCGCGCCCCGTCGGCCACCGTCTGCACGGCCTTAATGAGGACATCCCGCTAATTGGCCGCCACAGTGCGGCCGGCCGCGGCCACACTCTCTGTCTCTCTCCCTCCCACTGGAGAGGAAGCCGCGGCGGCACCGCCCTGCGCCGCCACACCGCGAACGAGGCTGGGATCGATCGGCCCATCAAATTAGTTCGGCGGCTCGGCTCGCCTCTGCTCGGCGGCCGTCGGCGGCCGTCGGCCCACACCGCTTTACGATGATGCCGTTCCCGTGTCGCCCGGAGTCCGACGAGTCCGACGCCGAGGAGCGCAGCAGCGCAGCTCTCCCTCTCTCTCTCGCACCTCCGCGGCACGGCCAGGCACGGCCCGTGAGTGCGAGAGAGAGAGAGACGCGGTGCGACGTCCGGCGGAGAGTCCTCCGGCCTCTTCATTAGGGTCGTTTGCCTCAGTTCTAGACGCCGTCGTGTGCCGTACGGGGACAGCGCCGCGCGTCTCTCTAGAACCAATAAATACACAAAGTAATGATCTGGATCTCGTGTGTGTGTGTGTGTGTGTGTGTTTGCGCGAGGGCCAGCATCCGCCTGCGGAAAGAATTCATCCATACGGCGTCGTGCTGCGTTCCGATTCTCTTGGCAGCGGTCGCGTGTCGCGGCACGCAGACAGACAGACAGACAGACAGACAGACAGACAGACAGACAGACAGACAGACAGACGCACACGCTGCACCTGCCCCGCGTGCGGTCACGACATTACACCACGCGTACGAATCAATTACACGGCGTGCAGCAGGCTTCGGCGCTCTGTCTCTCTCGCACTCACAGAGGGAGAGAGAGAGAGAGAGAGAGAGAGAGAGAGAGAGAGACAGAGAGACAGAGAGACGCAGTCATCTGTTCGGAATCGCTCTTCGTCTGCTGAAAAATGGAGCCCGATCGACAACGACGAGGACGTGCACCAGTTGACGGATTCCGAGAGTCGTTGTCGTCGCTCTGTCTCTCCTCTCGCACTTGTTCCGTACAGGTGCGGGAGAGACAGAGCGACGGAAAAGACTCTCGGAATCGGTCTGCTGGCGGTGGGAGTCCGCTGACACGTGTTTGGGCAAGTGCTACCCGGGTAGGCCGAGTCGAAGGGCACGCCACTGCACTGGGTAATGAAGAGAAATGCCACCGGAGGATCCATTTATAAAGGTTCGCCTTTTGCTCGTGTAGTGCTTACAGTGGATGCGCTGCCCATTCTTGTCGTACCAGTATACGCTGGCTGGGCTGCAAGGCGGTACTCGACTCATTATCCGCAGGGCGATAGTGCCGATAGTGATTTACGCCACTCGTTATTCGCAGTCATGTTATTGTTCTGCGACCGCCAGCACTGCTGCTGTGCCCACTCGCTTTTGCTTTCACACTTGTTGTTGTTGTTTTTCTTTCCGCTTTCCTGCGAGGTGCGGCGCGATTTGAGCAGGAAGCAGCAGCAACAACAACAGGGTGCTCGCGACAAAGATCTCGGCGTATGAGAAATTTACGGTAGCGTCGCCGCTGAAAATGTCCCACCTCGATTTTTCTTTTTCTTTCTTGTGTGCGTGTCTTCTTTAATGCTTTCCGGCTGCACTTGTGAAAGAACAAACACGATGGCTGGTGCGGCGTCAAAGACCGAGCCTCCTTCAGCAGGACAGGCAGCGGCGGCAGCGGCCGGGGTTGTCACCTGGAGCAGGCGGGCCTATTAATTAAGATTAACAAGGATTACGCCGCGCCCGGTGGACGCTGGCACGCCGGACTGCGGGACGGGTACCTGGGGCTGGGGCCCGCCGCGGCCACGCAGCGTCCTGGCGTGCAGTGGCCTGGGAACCCTTCCCCGACCCACCTGCTGTCATGTTCCCCCCAAAGCACACCGAACGAAACCACAAAAAAAGGTGAGCCGAATTGCCGGCCCGATGCGACGGGGTCATGACCCGGGCAGGCGCCCTAGTGTCCCTCTGGCGTTCAGGTCTCTGCGTCGCAACACCGTGACCGCCTTGTCGCACGCTGGACGCGCGCCGACCGCTGCCGACGTCTTCGGCGTGGTGTCGTCGTGGTGCGCGTCGCCGCCCCGCCCCTTCGGCAAGATTGAAATTTCGGGCCGAACCCCGAAGCGGCGGCGGCCGGCCCTCTGAAAGCCCATTGAAAGCCGGCGCCCTTTGGCCCTTTGGGACGGGGGGAGGGCCGGGCAGCCGGCAGCGCGTTTCAATGGCGGCGGCCCTCTCGCTCGGTCTCTCCCGCACGCATGCGGCACTCCGATGGGGTGCGAGGGAGACAGAGCGACGGAGCACGGCTCGGCTGGTTTGTGGGAACCAGTGAGAACAGGAGCCGGCCGGTCAGCGCCTCGACGACCTCGATGACGGCGAGGGTGATGGAGCTGGCCGTGATAAAGGTGGCGGCACTCCGAACACTGTCGCCCCGTCCCTCTCGCACCCCTGCGGCGCACCCGGTGCGTGCGAGAGAAAAGGAGCCAGCAGTGGGGGTGCGGCAGTGGCTCTATTATTCAGTGTGAGGCCACAGGGAGGCGAGGGTCGCCCAAAGTGTCGATTGGACCCTTTCATTACGCCGGCCGAAGATTAGAATCTGATTTGCCTGCCTTCCCCGTGGCCGGCGTGGGGACGCCCCCACTGTGAATTGAGCTGTTTTCGTTTTCAATTATTCAAAATGGAATACGGTGGATTGCCCCTTTTTTCGAGTGGAGCCGCTTTGACAAAACTTCGAGGTCCATCAATCCAATCTGTCTTGTCACTTCCGCCCGAAAATCACCGCTCCGATTGATATCGCATATTGATTGGAAATTTGATAACACTTGCAAAGTAATCAAGTCCTCATCTATGCTTGCAAACGGAAGTAAACACATTAGGCACGTAATCTTATCAGTCCACGTAAGCTTGACGTTCCGAGAACCCGGTCTTTTATTTTCGCCTCTTAGTGACTGACGCCTTCAGCAGCGCGCCTCTTGGAACTCCCTCGGCAAGATCCTCGTTCAAAATAAATTAACAACAACGGAATTTCGCTGTGACGCGGTAGCTGTCATGCCATTTTATTCGAGATGTATGTCCTTACACCAGGAATTCAGTCTTATAAAGAGAGCGACACATTTTTGTAAAATAGTTGATTTAAAATAAATAAATATAGAGTGCGTGGATGCGAGCTTTATTTTCGAGATCACTGGCCCCAGACGATGACGAGGTAGTTGATGTTCTCGCCGCGCTGGCTCTGGAACCTCATGTTGAAGTAGCTCTGGCCGATGCCGCCGCTCTGCAGGGTCACCGCGGCGTTCCTTCCGTTCTTCTGCATGTCCACGACCTGGATGCAGTGGATGGCGCGCCGGGCCGGGTCGGTGTACTTGAAGTCCAGCGAGTTGACGTAGGCGGTGGCCCTCTTGTAGACGGGGGTCTGGGACAGTTGCCTGGAGCAAGAGGCAGTTTAGAAAGAGTGTCACGCAGAGTCACAGAATTTACACTATAATTCATTTTAAGTTACGCTTAATTCATTTCGCCATTCTACCGAAAGATGAAGTTCTAAGAAACCGTGTCAAGTTTGCAGGTTTGTTTACTCTTTTTTGGGGTGATGAGTTATCAGGCGGTACAGTACTGCCGTTCACTGCACTGGCGGCGATAATCCCCATCTTATCTGTGGTGTAGCGGCACAGGGATGCCCCCCGGGCTGCCCCACGTTCCCGTCCAGGCGAACGTGCCGAAAAGCTGTTCAATCGTCGCGTTTTCGTTCCTTGACTCACCTGTCATAGGGGTACACTCCGCCGATGTTGAAGCTCTGGTCCCAGCCGCCCCTGATGGTGGGCCAGGGCCTCCTGCTGGTGCTGGGCCTCCTGCTGGTGGGGTACCTCGGGGTGGGGTACCTCGGGGTGGTGTAGCCCCAGCCGAGAGCCGACTCCTTCTGCTTCAGGAGGGCGTTGTCGACGGCGGGTGCGTCGTCGTCCACCAGGAAGACCAGGGGCGCCGCCTCGGAGGGGACCTTCTCGACGACGTCCTTGGAGATGTCGTTGGAGACGTCATTGTCGACGACACTGGTGAGGCAGGGCGCGGCCAGCGCCAGGCAGGCGAGGAGGGCGAGCAGGGAGCGAGCCATGGCGGTGCTGAGCAGGCGTTGCTGTGACTGTGTCGGAGTCCTCGCCCAACGGGGCTTATATCGGGCCGGCCGCTATCCACTATCGCAGTCGCGGGAGGCGGGGACAGGGGGTAGGCTCATTCAGATCACCGGCGGAGCCGATCTAGAGTGCGCTCTCCAAATTCGCAGGTGTGGATCATTTGAGAGCAGCAGTGACGGCGCAATGTGACGTCACTAACTGCTCACGCCATTCGACAACAACGTCACGCTACTTGTCTATTTTGCATCGTCCAATAAAGCAAACAGAGTGCAATTTCCTGACCTTGGTTTGGAAGCAGTACGCTATTAGAGTTGGTCGACGCCGACAAATGTGTGGAAATCGTGTTCCGGGCTGATTTTTGGCGAACATTTATCCAAGGCGGGAAAACGGACTCCCTTCGACGGGGGTGGGGGGGCGTATTCTTTTGATGATTTCTTAAGCATGACATTATCATATACTCAAAATTTGTAAAACATTTGTATTTCATCGTTTTTTTTTGGCAGAACAAAATCTCTCCCGATAGAGAAATTAGAATCTGGAGGTAACAGCCTCTGCGCCTACTGTCCCCAAATGATGACCAGGTAGTTGATCTTCTCGCCACGCTGGCTCTTGAACTTCAGGTTCACCCGCCTCTGGCCGACGCCGCCGCTCTGCACCTTCACCGCGGCGTTCTTGCCGTTGATCTGCAGGTCCACGACCTGGATGCAGTGGATGGTGGCGGCGCCGGAGTAAGACAGCTCTTTCGTGTTGACGCTCAAGAAGGTGCTCGACTTGTACACTGTCTCGCGTTCTAGTTGCCTGGAAATGCAATCGTTTTTCCTAACTATGCTAGCACATGGACACATTTTGATTGATCGTATGAATATTTTTGCCCCACCTGTCATTCTGGTACAGCCCGCCGATGACGAAGCTCTGATCCTTGCTGCTTTTCGTGGTAGTGGGCCACCTTGGGGTCGTAGTTGGCCTCCTCGTGGTGGGCCAGCCTGGGGTCGTACTTGGCCTCCTCGTAGTGGGCCACCTTGGGGTCGTGCTACTTGAAGTGGGGTACCTGCTCGTCGTGTAGCCCCAGCCCTGCGGGGACCGCTTCTGCTTCGGTTGGGCCTCACCTAAGTGGGAAGGAGACGGGTCAAGGGCTGCGTTCTCGATCTGATGTACCTTCTTCTTGGCCTGCGCGTCGTTGGAGCTACTGTCGAGGTGCTGGCTGCTGGTGAAGCACAACGCAGCCAGGACCAGGCAGACGACGAGTAGCACACGAGCCATGTTGTTGACGCTGGCACGCTGGCGGCCCTGATGCTGGCGGAGTGTATCCCGGGACCCAGACGGCGGGCTTTACATCCGCTGCTATCACAGCGGCGGGCTCGCCCTGAGTCATAGATAGCGTCCTAGAGTGACTTCTGAATTTTCCACTAACTCGGAACTCTCGCGCCTTTTCTGTCACAACCTTCAAACTAACGGAATAACTTCTTTCTGGTAAATGCGACGCGAGTTCGTGGTTTTGGTCGTGTTTCACATCATAATCATCTTGGATGGCTAAATACTTTCAGTGTTCTGGGTCTTCTTTTCTTGTGCAAATCTACTCCTTTATTCACAAAATTATTTTTGTACAATCGTTTGCGCGTTCTGTTAAAGGTGATAAACTGCGTTCAATATTCATGTGAATCCATCGAAAATACTGTTTTTAAGTGATGTTCAAGGTGGTGTTGTTTTTCAATTCAACATTTTGCTTGCGTAAACAAGTTTTTATTTCATCATTTCCAAGGCAGAACAAATCAGGACTTGGTGATAACAGCGGTTGCGCTCACTGTCCCCAGAAGATGACCATGTAGTTGATGTCCTCGCCGCGCCGGCTCTTGAACTTCAGGGTCACCTGCCTCTGGCCGATGCCGCCCCTCTGCACCGTCACCGCGGCGTTCATGCCGTCCTTCTTCAGGTCCACGACCTGGATGCAGTGGATGATGTAGGGCCCGGAGAGGGACAGCTCCTTTGTGTTGACGCTCAGGAAGCTGCGCGACTTGTACACCGTGCTGGTCTGCAGTTGCCTAGGAAAATAATTTGTGCTTTCATTATTGTTTTCTGTTGCTAAAATACTATACTTTTCACGAAACCTGAAAGCCACTCAATTGATTTCATTAGACACTTTAAAAAAAAAATATGCTGACTGTGGCTTGTCCCTTGGCCTTTCCGAGTATTTGCTTTGATACCAAAAGTTGCCTTACCTGTCATATTGGTAAAGTCCACCGATGTTAAAGCTCTGGTCTTTGCTGCCCTTGAGGGCTGCGGGGCTGGGGCCCAAAGTCTTAAGGAAGTCTTGAACGGAGCGCTGCTCTCGGGCCAGCTCGTCGCCTTCATGGAAACCGAGCGCGAGGTCCTTGGGGTCCTTGGTCTCGGGCAGGCTGGCCGCGGCGCAGCAGGCCACCAGGGCGAGGAGGGCGACGGCACGGGCGAACATGGTTGGGCGATGTGTGGGACACTGGCTCCTCTTCGGGACGCTCCGCCTATATCACTGCTCGCTATCGGTCCCCACCTCGCGTCCCATGACGTGTCAGGTCTGGTGCGAAGAGGCTCGGCACCGCAAAGCGTCACCGCCGAAGTGCCTATGCCGGTCGGCTCCTCTCGGAACACTTGGCTCTGCAGGTTGCCAGGCGTGTTTCCGAAAGCGCTTCCTCTGCCTAAAACTCTTGACCCAAACACCCCCATCCTTCGTGCTCCCTATCCACGAGCTACGCCATCCCGGATGCCACGAAGACGCAGGGATCGAAATCCCCCAGGAGCGCCAACACCGCGCGTCCTGGACTCCAAATGACCCATTTGCACGTAGGTGGCGAAGCACTCCAGTGGTGCCAACGGCCGCGCTCGCCAGGTTGGCAACATTGTCTCGCAAGGCGTCCGCTGCCTTCACGCACGTCGTTTCGAATTCCAGCGCGCGCAGCCGAAACGGAAGGCCGGGAAAGCTTTCCGTCCGTAATCATTTCTCGCCCCGACGCGTTTCTCGAAATCAATGAGGTCTACATGCGAATGCGCGCCGCGCGTATATTCGACCTCCTTTTCCGCTCCGCGCCCGGAGCACACCGTGTAGGCCCTGCACCACGCCCCGCCACGCTCCCTGAACGAACGTTTGACTACGCGGGGCTGCCGCATAAAGAAGGCGTTATTTATCGCTTGTCTGGTTCGAAACCGCGTGCGTCCTTTTGCCATGATGCATCGGCTGCTGCGCACAGGGAGCCACCGCGGGAATTATTTCCCGCGCACTCCGCGCGGCGAGATTGGCTGCCCTGCGCCTCGCAGAAGCAGGGTTCTAGAGGGCGTTGGGGATGGAAATTTTTAGAAGAGGGAAGGCCTTAGAGCAAGTAGTGTGCACCGCTCGGGGGGAGAGAGGGTCTGCTAGTTGCTACGGAGGTTCAAGCGGATGCAAAGACTTCAGTCGTTTTCCGCGACTCTTGAGGCTTCAAGTTGGTTCTGCCATTACAAAACCATCATCGCCGCTCTTATCAAGGCACGTACGAAGTCTAGCTCCTTCCTGTTGCCGATTCTTGGAGATTCAAGGCTTATCTACCGTTCTGTTTCATTTCCGGAGACGTTGTTGCGCCCAGACGGGAGCAAGCGCAATAGCCATTTTCTCAAGTACTTTACTCCGAAGAGTGTTTACACAGAGACCTAACAGGGGAGCTGTACACTAGTTTTGCCAAGATTTGGACTTAACACTGAGAATGAAAGAGTCAAAATCATGACTAAAATTTTGGGCGAGGAATTCTTTATCACCCAAATTTGGGTGAAGAAGGTTTTCTCACCCAAATTTTGGTCATAATACTATGGAGCCATGTAGGTAGCTGATACACCCTTCCTCGTCCAAATTTGGGCGAGGAAACAATCCTCACCCAAATTTGGGTGGTAAAGTATATCTCGCCCAAAGTTGGGTATTGATCATGACTTTTTCATTCTCAGTGTTAATAAGGGTCTTTCTTATCAGCTTGCTGCAGGTGAAAACCGCAGAATGCGGTCAGTGTCGCAGCAAAATGTAGAAACCAAAAAGAATTCTTTACTTCCTGTTTGTACCTTTTTGTGTGTCAATTACAATTTTCGGGTGTCTTAAAGACATCGTATGATGCTCGTCTCAGCCACAGCTGCTGGCTGCATGGCATACGTCACAGTGAGAGAGACTCTGTTAAGGTACGTCACACTCGAAAGATAAGAAGACCAGAAAAGACTCTCCTATCAGAATCAGGCGTCGTGACGTCTTGTGGCCCTTGAGGCACATAATACAAACTGTGCACCTAAGTGCATATGCACGAAACGCTTGTTATAATGTTACATGTGAAATATGCGCAATCTTGTAGGGTAGATAATGTATGTTAAGGAGTTTATCCATTCCGACAAACAAATTGAGATCAAGAAACTTGCGTTTATTTTTTTTATAAAATATATACAAAATATCACGGTGAGTCATGGGAGGGTAACAACTAGTTTATTCTTTGCTGCCGAAGATGAGCACGTTCCAGCCTACACTGTGGCCGCGCTCCGACTTGACCATGATGGTGGCGGCGCGCTGCCCGGGGCCGCCGGACTGCAGGACGGCCGAGCCGATGTTGGTGTTCTTCTGGGCCGCGAGCTGCACGCAGCTGATGACGCCGGCGGGCTCTTCGGTCTGGTCGGCGGGGTACGACACGAGCTGGTGGCGGATCTGCAACCACTTGGCGGACTTCCACACCGTCTCAGCGTGCAGCAGCCTGTGGGACCCAACAGCGATTTCAAACAATTTCTCACATCTATTATCAAACTACTGTGAACTGGAGGAGAGAAATCGGAAAAAGATGGTAACAATGGGGTTTTTATACTACTCAAGTGATACAAAAATAACTACGAGTCTGCGTAAAGAGTACTTTAGCTAATTTGCTATATTTCAGAAGCTATTTGCTGTGGCAAATCGTTTCCCGAAGTAGAAAATTAATTACGTTTGTTTCTTAGGCTTTCACTTGCAAACGTGCTAGTGCTTTGTTACTTTTCCATAGGATCTAAGAGGAACTTGCACAGCCTTTTGGTGAGGTGCAATTGCTATTACTCACACGTCGCTGTCCTTGCACGTGCCGACGGTCTGGAAGGCGTCCTGCTTGACGGGGACCAGGGCGGCGTGGGCCGCGATGCAGCAGGCGGCCAGCGCCGCCAAGAGTACGAAGCGGGAGGCAGACATGGCGTGGATGAGCGAGGGAGGAGCTCTGCCGCCCACCGCTCATTGCTCCGCCTATATACCTCGTCACGTTCCGACGCGATAGCGCTGCGCCACCAACCCAAGCATGGCCCCCCACGTGCTGTGAAGGGGCAGCAGCTAGCCCTACACTCGAGCCTTTCTATTTTGCACCTCCGAGGCAATCAGACCGACTGACGCGCAAAACAAAGTTTGGAAATCTAGATTCAGATAGTAGATCGCTTGAGATGAGGTATGGGCACAAGCACTTGGCTGCCAAAGGGTGCTTTGCCCTCTTCTTCTGTTTTTCAAAGTGTGCCTTCAGCTTCACCGCCTTCTTGAAACACGAAAAGTTTCCGAGTGCGTTTGTAGTGGAGTAATGAAAATCGTGAGAAATCTAAGTCATGCTTTCCGGTTACACTGCCGAACTACGCCCTACTTCTAGTAGCGTAAAAGAGCTGAGAAAAATTTTGGTGCCTAACGATTTTGTCTCACTTTTGATTCACCTTCCACGCTGAAGACAGATTAAAGCAGACAAAGTTCGTATCACTAAGCCACAATTTGGGCAGTGAATATTATCTTGCAACATGTGACTCATACTATCTTTTCCCTCTTGCCTGATTTAGTTTCGTGCTATCATGCAAAGTGATTCATACTGTGTGTAATAACACGGGATCAAGACTTCATTCGCACAAAAGTTCTCAACCTACAATACTCATGCCAAGAATTGGCCAAGAACCAGGACCATTATCACAATTGAAAATTCATGTCAAAATTCGCACAGCACATAATGAAGTTACCGTTGACTCTTAGCGCAGTTTTTCGTCCAGCCACAAAACTCATGTAACTCATGTCCTTTGTAGTATGCCTCCAGACCATTGTATTTACGGTGTCTTCATCTCATCTTAAGCTGCCAAAGATACGCTAGGAGGAAACTTGGCGACCGAATTAGTGGGTATGCCCCGGCTAGGAAGTACCGGCAGGGGACTCCGCAGGTGCACCGGAGGGATGTGCAGAACTTTGCACTCCCAGTCGTTTTTCCTTGTCCCTGCCCACGTGACTAATGAAAACGAAACACGATTACCTGCTGCACCCCACACTGCATTAATTCCGCGTGCGAACGCGATAGACATCGGCGCGTTGGCTCTGGCTTGCTCGAGCTGGCGTGAGGGCCAGCCCGCCCAGGTGATGGCTTTATGGATCACCAAGGCACAGGCAGCACTGCGCAGCCCGGAGAGGACATTTCATCTCCTTATCTTAATTGTTTTGACGCTGAAATTAGTTCCAACAAATCGATGTTGTTAATACGGCCGCTCGAAGACCGGTTCCCGTCGCTAACCTAGCCTTTGCACCCCTTTGCTTGCGCGTTCCCTTGAAGGATTACGAAGGATTACACCATCCACCGGAAATTTTGATTCGGACGATCCAGTTTCGAGTAGGGCCTGACTTCCAAAAAAAAGGTTTCTCGGTTTGGGAGTAGATTTATTTCAAAACAAGATTCGTTGATCTGCATTTTTGGACGGCCAGCAACGCAAGAGTCCCTTCTGGATTCTTCGGTTCACCTGAAAGGGCTTTCGGTTGCCGCCTCAGTCCCTCGCCTGCCTAATCAAGGCAGTGTCACGAAGCCACCGACACAGATACTGTGTACACCAATTATCGCCCACACCTCAAGCCCCGCTGCCCTTTGATCAGCGTGTGTGTGTGTGTGTGTGTGTGTGTGTGTGTGCTCTTATCTGTCCGCCACTCGAACCAAGAGTAACGAGAGCATTCGAATCTGCCCTTTCTTTCTTTTTTATGGCTGCCATGCGCTTCTCTGATTGAAGACGCCGCTGCCTTGTCACCGTGCTTTCTCCATTTTTCTCTCTTCGAAGTTGTTGTTGTTATTGTTTCCTGCTCTGGGTTCTTGTTGTTGTTTGTCGCGAGTCACCGTGACGGTCAGTGGCTCCGCGTCGGCGCGGGCAGTGAGAAACGCACGGCTGTCCGGATGCGATATGATTCCCAATTTGTTGCGAGAATGCGCTGGTAATGCGCACTGACCTCTGTGCGTGTGTGTGAGAGAGAGAGAGAGTAATTTGCATCTTGGTATGTGTAGGCGCGCGAGAGTGGCGCGGCAGGATGTGCCTTGCTGGACATGGGGATGGGAAGTGCACAAAAGCCAAAATATTTGACAGAATCATCCCTTCATTTAATCCTCGTGAAATATCACAGCCGACTGATCAGTGAGTGCCCGAATGCTAGCCAGATCCTTAAAGCTTTCCTCGTTGAGGTGAGGGCTCAGTGTCCGTAGATCTGCACGACGTAGTTGAGGCCGTGGCCGCGCTGCGAGTGGAAGCGCAGCAGGACGTTCTTGTAGCCGATGCCGCCGTGCTTCACCTTGACCACGCCGTTCTTGCCGTCCTGGCGCTGGTCGAGGACCTGCGGAGGGGAATCAACGATGTAAACAAGTCCAAATGGCGCCGCCGGCGGTCCCAAAAATGTCGCCGTTGGCGTACCTTGATGCAGGAAATGGTGAAGGGGACCTCGCTCTTCTTCGGGTACACGATGTCGGCGTCGCGGACCACCATCCAGATACTTTCCTTGTAGGCCGTCTCCGTGAGCAGGAGCCTGGACAAACGAAAACAGGAAAACGTCAGCCTTTTAGAAACAACAACAAAAGTCCCCCACGGGGTTTACGGGCCGTCCCCGACTTGCGGGCCGTGATCTTGGAGGTGTTGGGGACGCATAACGAGGCACAGCCGCGGCCCACAGGTGGGGCGCTAACACTGTAACCCTGGCCTTGCCTGCCCGGCCCGCGCGACGTGTTTGTTCAACTGAGCATGCGCGCACACACTCTCTCACACACACACACACACACACACACTCACTCTCTGACACGGCGTGATGACAGGTTGCGCAATGAGGATACTGACCTGTCCTGCCAGGTGGTGCTGCCGATGATGACGCTCTGGTCTTTGCCGCCGGCCAGCGGCACGGCGGTCAGGTTGGAGTAGAAGCCCGGCGCCAGGGACATGGCCGTCGTCGGGGCGCTGCAGGCCAGCACGGCCAGCACCAGGCCACACGCCGCCACCATGCTCGTCTGGGGAACCAAACAATTTCATAAGCCGTCAAATTGACAAGCAAAGGGAAAAATTGTGCCATAATTTTCAAAATTTTTATATTTGTTTTTGTGACGATTTTTTTGACGCCCACGCAGCTTATTTTTCATAACGAGCTGTGCCGCGAGTGCCAAGCCGACACCTACCTGCCAGTTGATCGCCATGATGCCTCTTTGCCGGTGTCTAGCGACAGTCTGCCGAAGGAGCGCCGCCACCTGGTTTATAAAGCGGGCCGGTAGAGTGCGCTCGGAGCGGAGGCGCGTCAACACAGGCACCCTTCCTTCCAATCAGCTATCTCGCGGCAGCCAGGCAGTGCCATAGGCCCTCGTGAGTCACACCACCACAGTGCGGTCCACCGCGTCACCGTTACGATATGACGTCTTTGTTTGCCAGCTCTTGAGACTTTTTCGTTTGGAAAACGGGCCATGCAGATAAGGGTGGCCGAACAATTCTGGGAATCTCTCAAGGAGCACATCCTGTTTTTTTGGCGCGCCGCTCGACTTCGACTCCCCCGCGTTGCTATCCGCTTCCTCGAACTTCTCCTTTAACGAGCGTTAAAATCCCCCGGCTCATACCGCCTTCTTAAATCACGCCGCCGAGACAAAATACAATGAGATAATAAAACCCTGGCCGCATGCACGCGCATCCACGCCGCTCTCATAGCCAACAACAACGACGAGGTCTCAATCTCGGACGATTCATGGACGCGGAGTAAATTGATTTTTCAGTGCACCGAGCACAAATCAAACGGCCGGCCACCAAACTACACGGATGGGCCCGGAGGGGGCGGGGCCGGAGGAAAGGAGGGGGGGGGGGGAGGGTCTGATACCCGTCCGGCTGGGCGGGGCCTGCCTGAGTGGCGCGCGGCGGCTCAGATTACCGCCGCCGAGATTCGCCGCTTGTCGACTCCACGCCACCTATGATTTTCGACACGCCAAACTGGAATCTCAAGTCAGCCGGGAGGCGAGGATGCGCGAGGATGCGCGCGGTGGCGGCGTTTTCGGTGGCGCCGCCGTGCCGGTCGAGCGGGCCGCCGTGATTACAGTCGCTCGGTCTCTCTCGCACTCGTTGCAGCTTGGCTTGTGCGGAATTCGACTGTGTCAGGGAATTAAGTTTACAGGACGGGCTGAGGGACGAGACGCCTTGTTGACGCTGTCGCTGCCGGGCGCCGCGGCGGTAGGCAACTCCGCGCACGCCACACGCGGCTGCCCTCGGGTTGCCTACCGCGCATTGCCATTACCACTAAAGGCTAGACCAAGCGGCCGGGACGCGCTTCGAGTGCGAGAGAGACGGCGAGCCCTGTTCGGAGCCAGCCTGCTGGCCGCTGGTTCCACAGAAAACGAGAATGAGTGAGGGATGCTGCTGGGCGTGGCGTCGTCGTGGCAGCCCGGTGGCGGTGAAGACCGGACGGCCACTTAACGAGGTGCGGATAGGTGTGCGCGCTCCGAAAGGGCTGCCAGGGCTACCAACCCGGCGGGCCCAGCGCGGGAAAAGAGGCGTAAATATTTATAAGTTTTCCACTCCGGGCCCTGCTGCTGCAGTCTTTCCCACCGTCGTCGTGGCCAGGACAGAACGTTCTCCACGGCGTTGTTGTCGCGTGGCCACGTGTTGCCACCGAGGGGTGACAAAGGCGCGGTAGCTGTCTTTACTGTGCTCTTTGAGGGAAAAGAAATTCTTAAACTGCAAGGAAGCAGCAATGAGCGCCAAATTCCTCCCTTGGAGTGAAATAATTTGAAATAAAAACCTTGCCTGGTTAATCTCACCGTGTCGTGCACTCTGTGGCCGGGCAGACCGCTTAGCGAGGGTCCCCCCGGCAGGTGCGGAGCGGGCGGGGCAGTCGGGAGAAATATTCACGATTAGCAGCGGCAGCAGCCAGAACGGAGTGCCAATCACCCCGGCCGGCCACTTGACTCCGAAAAAACAGCACATTAGCAGGAATAACATTACAGCAACACCTTTTCGTCCGACGGCTTTCGCACCTCGCTGCAGCCGCTGGCCGGCCGCACCTTGCACTCACCCGCCCCGCCCCGCCCCGCCCCCTCCGGACGCTCCGAATCTCGTTCGTTAAAAGCATCTGATGCTATCGATGTATCGAAGTGGCGGTGCGTTCAAGGCTGCGCTCCAGTCCGAGTCGACCCTGGGCACCCTGGGCAGGTGGATCGTGACGCGGTGCGTAGGCGCGGGCGGGGCGGGGCGGGGCGGGGCGGGGTGGATCGAGCCGTGCAATGATGAGTTACCGGCCGGCCCATAAATTTCGGCCAACACGGTGAATGCGAGCTGCTTGTTCGGTTTTAATCTTCTCCTAATGAAACCCTCTCTTTCCTTACTTTCCCTTCCTCGTCGCGCCTTCTTCTGCTGCTTCTTATTCTTCTTCTCCTTCCCGCGCGACGGGATTTTCTCGTAACATGTTGATTGTGAGGTTATGTACATTTTAGAATCCCGTGTGCTTTAACACGTGGCCGTGGCTGCACGTGGTGGTCGCAGTCAACGTGTTGGACCACCAGTTTTATGAGACGTTGCTGGCGTTGGGTTCGTTCGGATGGCGTCTCCGAGATCCGAATTCCATTTTTTGAATGGCCATCTGCATTTGTCGTCACTTGGTCTTGATTAAATATTGTTTAGAAATCGGTTGCGCTGTTAATCCCAAAACCTGAATATTTTAAGATTCTCGGAAGAGTCCAAACAGAACCGATCTGAGTTCGGAGCAATTGATTTCCCATTCCTAACCTCAAAATGTGTCCCTCGTGTTGCAGAAAGATGGGCCTGGCCAGCGAGCAGGAGGTGTGGCGGTCGCCGCAGCAGGTGCACGCCGTGGGCTCGTCGCCGCTGTGCGCGCGGCTGCCCGGCCTGAGCCCCGGCCAGGACAAGCAGTGCCAGCTGTACCAGGACCACATGGCGCCCGTGGGCCGGGGCGCGCACGCCGCCATCTCCGAGTGCCAGCACCAGTTCAAGGAGCGCCGCTGGAACTGCTCGGCCGCCGCGCTGGACCAGACCCTGTTCAGCAGCGTCATGAAAGTCGGTGGGTCCCACAGTGGCGGGCCGGCCGCCAAAAATGATGAATGTGTCGATATGTCGGCAGCGGTGGGCGTTCCCTAACATGGGGTTCCAAAATTAGAGATCTGAATTTCGGAACGAAGTTGCTTAAGGCGTAGCGCTGGTAACGCTCGCCGCTCAGCACTGATTCAGAGTGTCGTCTCTGTCTCTCTCGCACCTTAGCGGAACGACCCGTGAGTGCGAGAGAGATGACTCTCGGAGTGCAGGGGATGAATGCGATGCTTTGCCCGCAGCGAGTCGCGAGGTGGCGTACCTGCACGCCGTGACGGCGGCGGGCGTGGCGCACGCCGTGTCGCGGTCCTGCCGCGACGGCCACCTCTCTTCGTGCGGCTGCGCGCGCTCCGGCCGGCCCAGGGACCTGCACCGCGACTGGATCTGGGGCGGCTGCGGAGACAACCTGGAGTACGGATACAAGTGAGTGCCCCACTGCGGTGTACCGCCACTGTAGCGCCTGGCTGCGTTGGCGGTAGGCAACCCGTTGCGCTGCCGACTGGCCAGGCGCTCGAAACGACGTCTGCCTCTTCCTCACGGTGCTCGTCTGCCCACAGGTTCACCCAGGGCTTCGTGGACGTCCGGGAGCGCGAGAGGAAGCTGCGGCGCGGCAGCCGGGAGCAGGCCCGGGCCCTCATGAACCTCCACAACAACGAGGCCGGCCGGAGGGTGAGTAGGAGGAGGACGACGACGGGGTGCATGCCCTCAGACCCTCCAGACCGAACCGACCGTCGACCGCGCGGACCCCTTTGGACGCATGTCCGTTGATCGGCGTGATGGATGAGGCGGGTGGCGCACCGCGGCCACCCCCCCCCCCCCCGCCGCGCCCCGCCCCGCCCCGCCCCGCCCCGCCACCACCGCGACGGCCCTCCTCGCCTCGAGGGGGTCGCCCCGCGCGCCGCCGTCACCGCCGTCGAGGTGTGAAGAGGGTCCCGGGGTCGTCGGCGTGCCCTCGGCGTGCCCGTCGACACCACCAATCAAAATGATGTCTTCTTGCTCCGGCCGTTCTGGGTGGCACCGCGGCGCGCCGCAGCGGCATCGCCTACACTGCCTAATCCGAATCTAATGCCATTACCGCGAGGGGCCCCGCAGGGGAAAGGACTGTCTCTCTCTCTCTCTCTCTCTCTCTCTCTCTCTCTTTGTCTGCGTGTCTTTCTATCTCCGTTCTCTCTCTCTGCTCTCCGCCGCGTGTCTCTTCTTCATACACTTTGTGGCGCGTTACGGCACCTAATGAGAAAAGGAATGCAGCCGTCTGGGGGAGGGGGGGGGGCATGAATAATGCAACTTGCACCGAGTCGTCCTTCGAAACAAAAGTTGCGTCTCATTACGACTCTGATGAGTCGGCGTGCAATTAATGCGCAGGTAAAGCCGAATGCAGCAAAAAGCGAGGTGCCCGCAGTGACGGCCCGGTGCACCGCAGCCGCCCATCGGCACTGTCTCTGGCACTCTGCTGCCAACCCAGCGAGTGCGACAGAGACGCAGGATGGTACGGGGGATCCGAACGGTTCGCGTCAGTGGACGAAAAGCGCGCGCCGCGGGATGCGATGTGTACGCACGGGCTTCCAACTTGCTGGGGTGCGGCGGCTGCGTTGGTGTAGTTCGAGGAAAATTGTAATCAGTGGAAGTGGCGTGGCGAAGGCCGGGGCTGGGGCCGGGCCGAGCCCTGGAGATGAAAGCAGTGCGAGGCTCCCCGAACTGCCCCGGGGCTCCAGCGGGGCTCCAGCGGGGCTCCAGCGGTCCCAGCAGCGCCGGCTGGCAGGGCGGACGCCGACGCGGCTCGCTTCGAGTCTATGCTGACCGTCTGGGCATTTTGAATTTTTTCGTTACCATCAACTGACTTTCAAAATAAAATAATTCACCCCTGTTTTCATTTTTGTTTTCAAAATTTTAGGCATTTTTATTCTTTTAAATTTACATATTGACTTTTCAAAAACTTTTTAAAAAAAATTCTAGTTGTTTGTGAGGGCAGCCCAGTGGTTCTCAACCTTAGGGTCGCGACCCCAAGCGGGGTCGCGAAATTTTTTTAAGGGGTCGCGGCGATGCTGGGGTCGTGTTTTAGGCCGATTTTAAGCAGCCACTGCGTCTGATCCGAGGCGGGCATTTTGCTCCCTCAACGGGCAATGGTCTTTGGACCTTCCTTTAGCATGCCTTTGTTACGGAGTGCAATTTTCAGTCTTAGTTTGGGGCAGTATTGTCTCAAAGTTGGCCGAAACGCTCAGAAATGTCTATGAAAAATCGTGTTTTTGGGGCCCATTTTAAGCAGCCACTGCGTCTGATCCGAGGCGGGCATTTTGCTCCCTCAACGGGCAGTTGGTCTTTGGACCTTCCTTTAGCATGCCTCTGTTACGGAGTGCGATTATCAGTCTTAGTTTGGGAGCAGTATTGTCTCAAAGTTGGCCGAAACGGTCAGCAGTGTCTTTGAAAAATCGTGTTTTGGGCCCATTTTAAGCAGCCACTGCGTCTGATCCGGGCGGGCATTTTGCTCCCTCAAGGGCAGTATGTCTTTGGACCTTTCCCTTTTGCATGCCCTTTTTTACGGAGTGCAATTATCAGTTTAGTTTGAGAGCAGTATTGTCTCAAAGTTGGCCGAAACGCTCAGAAATGTCTATGAAAAATCGGTTTTGGGCCGATTTTAAGCAGCCACTGCGTCTGATCCAGGCGGGCATTTTGTCCCTCAACGGGCAAGGTCTTTGGACCTTCCTTTAGCATGCCTTGTTACGGAGTGCGATTATCAGTCTTATTTTGGGGGCGATTGTCTCAAAGTTGACCAAAAAAGTCACAACGATTTTTCAAAGACACTTGCGACCGTTTTGATCGACTTTGAGACAATACTGCTCCCAAACTAAGACTGATAATCGCACTCCGTAACAAAAGGGATGCTAAAGGAAGGTCCAAAGACCAACTGCCCGTTGAGGGAGCAAAATGCCCGCCTCGGATCAGACGCAGTGGCTGCTTAAAATCGGGCCCCAAAAAACGATTTTTCATAGACATTTCTGAGCGTTTCGGCCAACTTTGAGACAATACTGCTCTCAAACTAAGACTGATAATTGCACTCCGTAACAAAGGCATGCTAAAGGAAGGTCCAAAGACATACTGCCCGTTGAGGGAGCAAAATGCCCGCCCCGGATCAGACGCAGTGGCTGCTTAAAATCGGCCCAAAAAACGATTTTTCAAAGACACTGCTGACCGTTTCGGCCAACTTTGAGACAATACTGCTCCCCAAAATAAGACTGATAATCGCACTCCGTAACAGAGGCATGCTAAAGGAAGGTCCAAAGACCAACTGCCCGTTGAGGGAGCAAAATGCCCGCCTCGGATCAGACGCAGTGGCTGCTTAAAATCGGCCCAAAACACGATTTTTCATAGACATTTCTGAGCGTTTCGGCCAACTTTGAGACAATACTGCTCCCAAACTAAGACTGATAATTGCACTCCGTAACAAAGGCATGCTAAAGGAAGGTCCAAAGACCAGTTGCCCGTTGAGGGAGCAAAATGCCCGCCTCGTATCAGACGCCGTGGCATGTTAAAGGAGGGGTCCCGTGGGGGGCGCGAAATTTTTCCTGGGGGTCGCGGAAATTTTTGGCTTCAAATTTGGGGTCGCGAGCCGAGAAAGGTTGAGAACCGCTGGGGCAGCCTCTTTTGGCCGAAACAGTAACGGACTGGAACCTAGCTACACTCTAAATGTAGGGTGCCCAGAAACTGGGCGACATGGCACCCTAAAAAGTGGGGCGGGCGACAAAGGCACCCAGTTTCTGGGCACCCTACATTTAGAGTGTAGACGCGGGCCCGGCCCGAGGCCCGGCCGCGGCCGGCGTGTGATCCTCGAGGTGGATCCAATGGACGTCATTAATGCGGTTCGGCTGGACTCGGGGAACGTCTCTATTAGGCGGATCGATTTGTCATAACGATTGACTGGCGAGACGCGGGGGAGTCGCCCCGAGTCGCCCCTCCCACGTCTTTCCTTTCCGACGAAAATAAATTAATGAGCGCACCGAACCGGGCGCGCGTTCGCTTGCATTTGGGAATCAATCATATAGGTTCTATTCCCAGTTCTGGTGGCCATTTTTTGCGAGTGCCCCGACCTGATCCAACTTATCCATACTTGAGCTGAATTAACCTTACTTTAAACCTACCTAACCTCACTTTCTGATTGCTTTCGCAGGCCGTGATCAAGAAGTCCAGCGTGACGTGCAAGTGCCACGGCGTGTCGGGATCGTGCTCGCTCATCACGTGCTGGCAGCAGCTTGCCTCCTTCAGGGAAATCGGTAAGAACTTATTTTCACGTTTTGTAAATGAATAATCGTTGTCAAAAGTGGCAAAATGATAGTTGCGCGCCCATTCGTCGGTCCTGCCGCCGGTCTAAATCCGGCACCCCCTGCAGGTCGTGCGCGGTGGCCGGAAATCCGGAAATGGCGCTCCAGCACGACGAGGCCAATCTGGCGCTCACTTCCGGTCCGACTCCCAGAGGGTGTAGGTGCCCCCCGGCGAAGAGCAGGACGATGGCCAATCACAGTGCACGGGACGGAGTCCGACCGGACGACTGCCAAACGAACGCGAGCGCACTCTGGATTCCGCCTATGGCGGCGGTCGCACCTGCACATCTCTCAGATACACTGGAGACAGGCCGTCGCGTCGTGGAGGCGGTGGAGGGGCAGGCCGTTGATGGAGTGCTTGGCGACCGCAGGCCAGGCCGTCCAGCCGCGCGCCCGCATCCACGGCGTCCACGGTGTGCTGGCAAGGCCGCCGAGGACTCGCCCTGTCCGGCACGAACCGCAAGGGGCGGAGCGCCGAAGCGGAAGAGAGATGAATGCATAATTTCATGGCAGTAAGCTTGAACTATCCGTGACAACAGGGAGGGCCAGGTGTTTGTTCGGACGGCAGGTCCATGTTCGGGACAGGAGCGCCGGCGAGGCAAGGGGTCTGGCGAATACACCACCTATCTGGACGGCCTGTCGGAATACGGCTAATACTGTGAGTTATGACCCGAGGGTGGGGGGCTGGCGCCGGCGTCCTGAACCACTCAGCGTAGCGAGCCCTTTCACACTTACGTTAGAAACGTGTTCGTAGACACACACACACACACACACACACACGCACACACACTTACGTCCACGCCCACACGCAGGAGTGGACTCTTCCCCATTCCTTTCATCGCCATGCCCGATATGGTCCGCCCTTCCTGTATTCTCCCAATTCTTTTGGCGGAATAAATTTGCGTCTCGGCGCGAGATTTACGGTCGCGCGCCTGAGTGTGAGAGTGAGAGGGAGTGTGTGTGTATGTGTGCGAGAGAGAGAGCGTGCGGTGCGCCCCTGTATCATTGCGTGATGCGCGTCCTACTTACGCCCCTTTCCCGAATTCGCTTCTCCCCGCGTCGCGTAAATCAATCATGGAGCAATCGGAGCGATGCACCGCCGGCACCGCCACACGGCAGCGCGTCCCGGCGGCCGAGTTCCGGTGAAGCCGAAGCCACACGGGAGAGAGAGAGAGAGAGAGAGAGAGAGAGAGAGAGAGAGAGAGAGAGAGAGAGAGAGAGAGAGAGAGAGAACGCCATCACGAAATGGAGTGTCACTGTCGCTCCTACAGGACGCGGCGGCGTCAGCAACGTGACGAACTCCTCTGCGAATTGCCCACTCTAAGTTTCTTTATCATGTTTACCACGAGGGTTAGCCAGGCGTGAAGGAACCAGGCACTTTTGGCTGTGATGTCTGCATCCCTTTTAACATTGCGCTGATATTGATGAGTGGTTTTTCATCCGGTGCCCCATTTGACCGCTATGCGCGCCAATCAAAGGCCAGTTCGGCCGGGCGATGCGGCGGTGGGTTGCCTACTTCAGCCCAGTGCCTGGTAGGCAGGAAGGCAGAGGCTGGGCTGCATTGTGCTGCATTTGACTCCAACCAAACCGGATCCACGGAGAGGACCACCCGAACGGTTGGCTTCTGTGTGGACCAATCAGCGTTGAGAGGAAACAGTAGTAGTTTTCTGGGCGGCATTACCTTCTGCTCTATTCCCCTCAGGATCCGGTTTGGGTTTGGTTACAGTCAAATGCCCCATTGTTGCCCAATGTGCCCCCTTGTGTCGTCACCCAGCGGTCGTCCCAGCTTCCCGGCGGTGAGAGATTCGCGTCCGTTTTGGGGCCACGCCACGCCGCCACTGCGACGCCACGCGCATTCCTGTGGGCGCCCTCAATGTTGTTGTTGTTGTTGTTTTGTGATGCGCCAGCCACCCGATCCCCTGGGTCCGGTTGACTCCGGGCCGCTCCGGGCCGCTCCGGGCCGGCCGGGCTTGACCGAGCATGAGCATTGGCCAGGGAGGCATGAGCATACGTGCATCGGGCAGCCGCCCTGGCCGCCCTGCGCTTGATCCGGCCCTTCCCCAGGGTGAGAGAGAGAGACAGAGAGAGAGAGAGAGACTCGCTTGACCGACGGCGCTACCGGAGCGGTGCGCCAAAGACTGGGCCGCCGCGCGACTAGAGTTTCAGGCAGCGACAAAAGGAGGAGAAAGAGCAAAGGCAAGCCCCAGCCCTTTCTGGCCGCTGCCGCGTTACGTGGACGTGCCCGGGGCCGACGTGCCCGGCCACAGCGGCCACAGGCGGGGAGCTTCTGCTGGACGTCAACCGATACCTCGTGCCCGTCGATGCCTGACGAGACACGGAGGTCGAAACTCGAAAACGGCGCCAGCCTCTGCTCTCGAGTCTCTGTGTGCGTGGGGTAGTTCCGCTTTTCTGCCCCGCGAGCGCGGCTCGTTTGAATCTCGCGCGGCGGCCAGCGCGCGGAGTCTCGCCGCGGTGGCGTTGCGCCGCGCCGCCGCCAGATGGCAGCACCGGCTGAGCGCGCGCGGCGCCGCGGCGGCCGGGGGGAAGTTCCACATCTCCACGCCGCGCCAAGAGGCCGCGCGGTCCGGAGCGTGGGGCCGCTCCTCGTGACGACGTGCAACGCTTGATCCATTCCACTGTTCCACTGTTCCAGGCGACCACATCAAGGAGAAGTACGACAGCGCCACGGAGGTGCGCGCCAGCCGGAGGGGCCGCCTGCAGCTGCGCGACCCGCGCTTCACGCTCCCCACCGCCTCCGACCTCGTCTACCTGGACGAGTCGCCCAACTACTGCGTCCGGGACCTCACCGTCGGCTCGCTGGGTACGGCCAACTCGGCGAACCGCCTTCATTTGGGCCCTTGTTGTTGTTGTTGTTGTTGTTGACGGCGGCGTTGGGTTCCAGGCACGCAGGGGCGCCACTGCAACCGCACCTCGCACGGCATGGACGGCTGCAACCTGATGTGCTGCGGCCGCGGCTACAACACGCAGAAGATGACGGTGCGGGAGCGGTGCGACTGCAAGTTCCACTGGTGCTGCTACGTCGAGTGCAAGATGTGCACGCAGACCGTCGAGGTGCACACCTGCAAGTGAAGGCACCGCGTCGTCGGGGACGTCGCTCCACGAACAGTGATTGTGCTCAAAGTTGGGTGGGAATGATGATGATGATTCAAGAGGTTTTGTAAGATAAGGAACTGGGACATTGTTGCGACGTTGTTTTTAGTGAGGAGAGAGAGAGAGAGAGTTGTGTGGTCTGTAAATAGCGCATCGAGTACGCTGTAAATACCGCTTCATTTTGGACACTGATCATGCGACATATCAGCTCTAAGAGACAAACCCGAACCGAGTTTTGTGACCCACATTCTTCGCGTCGAGAACGTGTCGCTGAAAGTGAGGGCGTTGTGACTTACAAAAATGTTCTCTGTGCCATAATTCCATCGTAAATTGTCAATCCGTTGTTAGCTTAGAAAGACGTTTGTATGTTCTTGTAGCGGTTTTTCTGAAACTAATATGTTCAAGTACTGTCCTTTAGTGTTTGCTGTAGTTGCTTTTGACTCTCATGTTGTCGATTTATGAGAGCAGAGTACAGTATTCTCTATCTAGCATCATAGACTTCGTTTTTAAACATAGATTTCTCTTGAGACACTCACATTCCAATTTTATTCCCAGCACCTCGTTGTACTTAAAACGTAGTTTGTCTTCGCGTGCGTAGAGTAGGGTTCGAAATTGTTATAAATTTCAAACCAGCAAAAACCTGCAAACCTCCCTTTCAAACCAAATATGAAGCTACTTGATCGTGTAATGTTGAATTTCCTGTACACTTCTCCAGTCGAAAAGTGCCTCAGTGACGTTCGTTTCAGCCAAAAAAGAATCGAGCGTCGATCGTCCTAGTTTTGACCTTTAGCCGGGCCACGGTTGAAAACACCGGTTCCAGGTCCGAAGGAACGCGATCGACGCCAAGTATTATTGCTTTTGCTCATTGCAACAATGTACATACGTTTCACCTGCCTTCCTGTCATCGTACCTTCCAACAAACTCTGTAGTTACGAGAATGATTATTTATTGTATGGAATAACTTATATAGATGTGTTGTACAGTAGCGACTTCTTTTTGTGTATTCGTTATTACATAGTTAAACTTTTATTTAATAAATCTTGTAAAATAACAGATTTGGGCCGCGAACGCGTGTCTTATTCCCACACACACAAAAAAAAAGAACGACGAAAAACTAAAACCAAAGAACCTCTTCCCCCAGTTCAGAAATGACCCTATCGGTCAGTAAGTCCCTCCTGGCTCTCTCGACAGCGCCGGGAGAGATGGCCTTCTCGCATGTCAGCGGTTACACAACTGGTGGACTGATTCCGAACAGTCGCTGTCTCTCTCGCACTCCCACGGGACGCGCTTTTAGTGCGAGAGACACACACACAGTGATGTTCGGACTCGGCCTGCAGCCGTCTCGTCGCTGGCCAATCGGCCAAGCCCTCGGCCCAGCCATGGCGACCATCATGCAAATGAGAGTCCGTCGACTGTCCACCGCCTGAGCCGCACGGGTAGGCAACCCAGCCGGCACCAGCAGCGCCTGAATGCAGCCAAGGCAGCGGCGACGTCCTCCAGGACCGCCCCGATCAGGTTCGAGTCCAAGGAGGCGAGCCCGCAGGCCGCGGCCCCGCACCGCGACGCCACCCCCGCGGCTCTCGCGTGCCGCCGACTCTCGGCGCCCCTCCCCAACAAGTCCCCCGAGCGCGCCGCGTCGGCCGCGTCACCGACCCGCGGACCGGCGGGGCGGCCGGCTCGGTCACCAGACGGGGACCGGTCCTCCGCGGAGCCTCTCGTCGACCAGCGCGCTCGCGTCCACCGAGTCGACGGCGTCCTCGCGGCCCGGGGGCACAGTCAAGAAGACCGACACACGCGTCGAGGGGTTTGCCTACGCCGCCCGGCTCGAGTCTCAGCGCCGTCGACACTTGAACTAGGTTGGTGCGTCGCAGCTGTGAGACGGATAGACACTAGATAGTAGATAGCGGGCCAGACGCGGCACTGCTCAGCATTCGCGTTATCGGATGCAGTGGCGGCGACAAAGCGCGCTTTTCACTACTTTCGCCGTTATCGTCTGCTGCACTGCGAAGCACTGCCACTGCGGCGACTGCGGAGGCTAGAGCTGCCGAGCGAAAGGCGGGACCGCCCCGCACGCCCCCCGCGCCGCCTCCGCTCAGCTGTGCCGTGGCTGTGCCCGCGGTCCACGGGGGTGGCGCGGTCGTCGCGGGGTGACAACCGGACGACTGGAGGGGGTGGGGGATGCGGGCGCGCGGGGGTGCAGACGTTGGGAAAGGGGGGGGGGGGACGCCGACGCCGCCCGCAGCCTGGACTGGAGCGGAGAGTGAGGTTATGTTCGCCTGGAGTCCTCCGCTGGCGGCCGCTGGTCCGCGTCGGCTAGTGTCGGGTTTGCGCGTTACAGACGACGGCGGCCGCGGGGAGTGTTTTCGGTCGTCGTTTCTCGGCCGCGAAGGGTCGCCAGAGCGCCAGGAATGGATGACAACGCCGCCTTGACGTCGCGCCAGAGGAATTCTCTCCAGCTCCAGCGAGACTGAGGCTTAGGCTCTCTGGAACGACAAGCGGCGCCGCCAGGAAGCGCAACCCAGTGGCTTGGAGTGAGTTTGGTTTGACGGACCCGTGCGATGGGCACGCCGTCAGCTGTGCCTGGGGCGTCGCAACCGTACCCAGGGCCGTCTGCTGCCAAAAACTGGCTGTTAATCAGTGTTTCTGTCAGGGGGTGTTTGTAAACAAAAGTCCGTGTACTAGGCGTCATAACCTGTACAGTTTTCATTGTTGTTTTGTGAAGTTACTGTTTGAATTGAATTCATTTGTCAAACTAAATTTTAATTCGAGCGCATTTTAATTAGGACATTGGAACAATCAATATTTCAGTTGTTTCACATCATATAATGTTGTTCGCTGCTACCAGTAACATCTTTCTTATTTTGTGTTTTAGGTTGCGCTTCACCATGTTGTCAGACCGACACTGAACCATTGTTCTTCTAACTATGGGCTATGATTGTGGTAGAATATTGTTAAATACTACAAGTTCATAATGGCCATTGGTGAAGATGGGGCTGGCGATCACAGTAGTGAAAGATCGATGGAGACACCCACTGCTCCAGAAATGGAGGCTGCCACCACAACTTCGCATGCCTCAAACAGTTCGGGTGGATTTGCAAGCGGTGTTATACCTGGAGTTAGAGAAGCATCAAGGAAACTTCAGCTGAAAATGACTTTCAAGCCTCTGTCATCTCCGAAAAGAACTGGTGAGTTAAAATGCAACTCACATGTCTGCAGAAGTTACAATAATTTTGCTATTAAAAATCAATTTTCCTTTTGAGTCTTCTTTGCTGGGTCGTGAGACCTTGTGATTGTTAAGAGTACAGTAAAAGTATACATCATCAAGAGACTGTACTATACTGTTGACGCAACTTTGGACTTTCTGCAGACATGTCTTGTAATTATTTATTGTGAAGCGCTTATCATTTTGTCACTTCTGCCGTTTCTGCGGAAATTCAAATAAGGCACAAACTTTGTATTATAAATTATTGGCATGTTGATGGGATAAATGGATTCATTGGACAATGCCTACTATTTTCCCAGAGGTGTATTCAAGGGTAATAGGTGAGGAACAGCTCTAATAACACTCCCATATTCTAAATTTTTAAAATTTAAAAAAACTAGGGTTTTAATAACATTCCAGTGATTTTTTTTTTTTTTGCAGCTTGGGTTTCTTTTTGGGGAAATTTTTTGAATAGCAAGCTTGCTGCGCCGTGACACAGGCCATGCTGCAGTTTAGCTGCGTAGGCGGGATGCAAGGATGTGTGTGTGACTGTGTGTGTGTGTCGAGAGGAAAGGAAGGCTTGGCTGGGGCGGGGCGGGCGGGGCGGGGCGGGGCGGGGCGGGCGGGGCGGGGCGGGGGGGCGGGGCGGGGCGCGTCCGGCGGCACTGCAAGTCCCAGTCCGGCACCGCGTAGGCGCACTCGTTCTCAATCTGGACTAAAGCGAACTCGGCTTGGCTTGGCTTCCTCGGCGGCGATTGGACGGGACGGACGCCACGCGCGCGCACATTCAAGCCCCGTCTCTCTCGCACGCCGACGTTACGCCATCACGCCCCACGAGCGCGAGAGAGACAGAGCGACGGTGGAGTACGGCAGAGCACTGTGCTATCTCTGTGCGCTCTCCAGCGAGTAGTGTCGCGGCGTCACGACGACGGCGTCGCTGCCTCTGCCGCCTCGTCGCCCCGCGGCCCCGGCGCGCGCGGACTGACGGGGACCTCTGGACCCCGCGTCGTCGTGGACGGATGGAAGTCGAGATGACGTGATCGCTGTGCGACGCCAGTCCAAGCAGGCGAGCCAGCGGCTCGATTCCGAGCAGTGCTCTGTCTCTCTCGCACCCCTGCGCTCTGCGCGACTCGGCGGCGCTGTTGTCCGCGACTGGCGGCGGCCGGCACGGCGCCTCGCGACAGAGGGCGCGGTATCTGCAGGCTGATGCCGACCAGTCGCTGCCCCCGGCCCGGACGGACCGCCGCACGAGAGCGACAGAGACGGAGCGACGCGAGCGGAATGGGCCTGCAGTGCGATACGGGCGTAGGGCCCCGCGTCCGCCGTCCGCGTCCTTGACCCCCGGGAGGGCCTCGGGCACTGCTGCCAGGGCATGCCGGGCATCCAGGGCGCGGCACTCGTCTGGGCCGACCGGGCCTCGCCGCCGCGGTCAAGTACCTGGCCGCCTACCGCCGCGCCGCGTGTCGTTGGAGGAAGGGAAGGAAGGGCTCGCGGTGGGCGGATGTCGGACTTCCGGAGGACACGTCGCGGCCGGGCACGCCGGGCAGCGGCCTGCAGGGAGACGACTGTCTCCGGCTCCTCGTACTGCTCGCCACGCCGATGAGACGATGACCGACCACGGCGGCCTGCGCTCTCGCCTTCCCCGCCAGGATGCCATAACTTTCAACGCGCGCCTTGCAGCCGAGTGGATTAGGACACGGGGACGGCGTCGAGGGGCGGGCCACGGCCACGGCACGGCCACGGTGCAGGGGGACGCGGAAGTGGACCCTCAATCCGATCCCCCCGGGCCTACCCGGGCCGGGTGGGGCGGGGCAGCGGCGGGGGATTCAATTTGTCACGTCGGCAGGGAAGTCCCTTGGCCCCCCCGGGTGCCGTGCACTCAATGTCAGCCAGACGGCGGCGCGGGTTCGACTCGTCTGTTCGCCGCTTGATTCTGGCGCCAAAATTCGAGCCCCCCGCGGTCGGTCCGCCGCGGTCCGCGCAGCAGCAGTTGTGGCAACGGTAACGCGCAGCCGCCATTGCCGTCGTCGTCGTCGTCGTCCTGCCCCGCGGAGCGATTCCGAGTCGAGTCCGTCTCGCTCGCGCCCCCAAGGCACGGCGCCCGACGCCCCACGAGTGCGACAGAGGCGACGCCACTCCCGGCATCGGTCTGCTGGTCGCCGGCGTGGCGTGCCAGCGCTGCTTCCTGCTGAATTATGTGCATGCCGTATTGCCCGCCCGGTTGACAGGGCGCGGCGCGGTCGGACGTCCCTGACCTCGGCGAGGCAGCGGAGTGGAGTGGACCGCCACGCGTTTTTAAATTGGCCTTTTATTTCCTTCATCTGTAAGTGTTTTTCTCTGACAGCGGCCCGCGCTCACACCAGGCACACCCCTATCCCATCCGCCCCTCGCCCTCGTTCCCTGCGACCCGCATGCGTCTCCAGGCGGCTGCAGCTTGCAGTGCAGGCCCCCATCTGCTCGCGAGGGAAGTGCGACTCCTGGAACGGCGGGGGAGGACGTCCCCGTGCGCCCGATCACCCCGTCCCTTGTCGGTGTCACGGCGATGATGGCTCGCCATGCGATGATGACAGAGCCCACGCGGCCGGCCGGGGCGTTGGGGCCCGTCCGGGGGCCCGTGCGGGGCGGGCACTGTTTGTGTACACTGCAAGTACACTCGCGCCGAGAAGTGTTGGCCTTTCGCTCGGCGTCGTCTGTTCTTATCGCCGCCCCGATGCGCGCCGTATCGCCGTGCTGGGGCTGTGCCGCTGTGCCCCAGCCACAGCCCCAGCGCCCCGAACCGTGGCTATCCGTCGCTCTGTCTCTCTCGCACCTCATTGCCCTCCGCGCTCCCCGCCGCGGTCTTCACTAGTTTCATGCCGAACGGGGCTTTGAAGCGCTGTCTCTCTCGCACCCCTCGGCGGTGCCGGGCGGTGCCCCACGAGTGCGAGAGAGACAGACCGGCCCCGGCGCGGCATTGACCGTGCGCCGTGCGGTAGATAGCGAGCCGAGCCGGCCAGCCCCGTGTCGGCCGACCTCGAGGCCGATGCGATACTTCTCCCTGGGCTGCTCCCATTTCGGTGCCCTGGTTCCAGGCGGTCGCCGCCTAGCTCGTCTGTCTCTCTCGCACCCAAAGGGACTTCCCCGCGCCGCGACAGCACTGTTGGGACGGAATCAGTTTGCCGGTGTAGTGGTGGTGCTGGTCGATCGCACTAAACGGCAAAATGCGGCCGAGCGCTTGCTGCTGGCATGCTGCGTCAAATCTCCCGCCAAAAATGGAGCGCTGCCATTGGCTGGCTGCGGGACAGCAGAGCAGGGCGCCTGTCTTCTCGACTCGCTCGGCCGGGGCGAGAGACAGAGCACTGTTCGGAAGCAGCCCGCGCAGGTGACTCACCTCGACTCTGCCTCTTTTACAAGCGCCCTTCCCCTCCCCCCTTCCCCGATGGCTGATTAGCCTTGCTAATAGTGGTGTAGGCGACCGCCCCGCACGGCCCCGCACGCACACAGTCGCACTGGGACACGTGGCTAGGCGTGTCTGTGTGCGCTTCGCCCCTTGGCGCCCCGCAGTGGCGTGGCTGGGCCTTGTTTACGCGCTACACTGGTGCGAATTTGGACGTCGTGGATCGCGTTGTGTCTGGCCGCCCCGCCCCGCCCCGCGATCCAACGTCCATTGAGTGGAGGCAGCCGTCGTCGTTTGGACGTTGCCATGTGCTCGCCTGCTCGCCGTAGACCCGAGGGCCCTCGAGGCGTGGGCAGACCTTTGGCAGTGCAGCGCTCAGCACTTTTGCGCGTAGTATTTAGAACGGCGTGGCGGTAGGGGCGGCCCGGGGCGGCCGGCCGCGTAGGTCGGGGTCTTGTTTGGGTGCAGCGAGATGCTGTCCGAGTCAAAGGTCCACCGTCGTCGTCGCCGTCGTCGGATCCAAGTGGAACGCGATCGGCTTGCTCGGCCACTCGCCGCTGAAAATTTCACGCGTTCCCAAGCAGAGTCCGGCAGCGCGCTTGCAAAAACAAAATAGCGCCGCTAACTGCTGCACGAGGGCGTGTGCGTGTGTGTGTGTGTGTGTATTTGTATACGTGGGCTTGCGTGTGTAAAACGTGTAAGTGTGTGTGTGTGTGCGTGTGTGTGTGTGTTGGTGGCGGAGAGGCGAGGAGGGACGCGCGCAGTTTGTTCGGCTAAATAGACACATCCTCGCTGCCCCTCCCCTTATTCTTCACACATACACATACACACACACACAGAGGCTCGCCACTCGTTATCGAGAAAGGCGCTATATTTGGCGGTCCGAGCGACGCGCACATCCTTTGGCGCGGTATTCGGGAATTCGCGCGGTTATTTCGCGCCGCGCGTGCTGCACGCCGCGATTCCGAAGAGAGAGAGAGAGAGAGAGAGAGAGAGAGAGAGAGAGAGAGAGAGAGAGAGAGAGAGAGAATGCACCGCTGCGACCTTGCGTTGCCGCGCGAATTATAGCCCCCGTTGTTGTTTGTTTTTGTTATTGGACAGGCCGCGGGGTGACTGCTCGGCCGGCCGGGCCGGGCGTGGTTGGACACAAGTGCGAGATGCTCCCGCGTAGAGAATGGTCGCTGCAAGATTAGATTGACTCGGCGGCGGCCACGGCGGCGGCCGGCCTGTGTCATTGTGTTGTGCACAGGAGCATCGCCCCGCGAAAACACGTGCAGTGCACCACACTGCGAATAACACGCGGCGCGGCAGCATGGCGGCAGCGATCTCGACTCTCCGCCACTGGAAGTTGGCGAAAAGTGCTACCCCCCCCCCCTTTTCAGGCTGGCTCTGGACCCGCCACTGCGCCTGGGCTGAGCTGCTGGGCTCTCCGGGCGAGGAGGGGAGGGGAGGGAGGGGGCGGACCAGAAAGGGCCACTTCCTCTTTGATAGAGGGTCGCAGACGGTCCAGGGTTCAAATACCGGCCGGGGGGCGCGCAAAAGCCATTTCCCTCTTTAGGAGGCGCTCGCTGCGCGCTTGAGGCCAGTGGACGCGTCCTTCTGGCGCG